TCCTGATCTCTGCCTCCTGAGTAGCTGGGATTACAGGTATGAGTCACCCGTACCTGGCGTGTGGTGACATTTAAAAGTATTATATAAGATAGCACATATGAAAATGCTGTCACAATCTGCCATAATTTCTCCTCTCTTCCAAGAACACAATCCTCTTTCCCTACTTCAGATTTTTGGTCCAGATAGCTGGCTTCTTAAACAACCCCAGTTGCCTGGCTCACTCAAGCCAGCTGGACTTTAGACCTCATCTTCCTTGGAGAGAGTGGAGCGAGCCTGCTACCCAGCTGGGCCAACCAGAATACTTCCCTGGGAAATTCTGAACTAAGTGGAGGTGAGGAAAGCACCTCTGGAGTCTGGAGTCTGGAGTCTGGAGGGTGGCAACTGTTTCCCCTGCGGCCTGGAGAATCAGAGCCTGAGCGTGGGCTCTTTCTGGGACGGGGGAGAGAAGAGAGCAGGTCCCTTCTGGCATGGTTCCCCTCAGCCCTGCCACAAAGGCCCTCTGCTGCCTAAACTCTCACACTGGGTTCTGAACCTTCCAGCAGAGTCCTGCTCCTGCTTCCGGCATGACAGGTCATTTCAACCCTCTCACCACTCTGGTGTTCTTCGCCTAGCAACTGGCTAGTGGGCAGGTGGAAGGAGGTGCCAGCCACGGTCCTGGCTTTTACCGTCTTCTGAGTGATAAATGTATTTCCTTGGTGACTAGAGAATCAGAACAAGGGGGATTGCCAGGCGCTAGTGATGCACTCCTGTAATCCCAGCTGCTCAGGAGGCAGAGATCAGGAGGACTGAGGTTTGAAGCCAGCCCTGGGCAAATAGTTTGTGAGACCCTATCTTGCAAAGACCCATCACATAAAAAGGGCTGGTGGAGTGGCCCTAGCACAAGGGCACTGGTGACTCAGCTAAGTGTGTGGCACCTCTTGCCCCTAGAACGAGCCCCAAATGCACCCCAGAACTGGAAGCAACTTGCTTTCAACCAGACCCCAGTTCTTCCAGGAACCTTCCCCACGTAGAGCACTTGCCTAGCAAGCTCAAGGCCCTGAGTTCAAACACAGGTATTGCCACCAAACAAACAAACAAGAAAACACACCCCCAAAGACAAGACAAATCAAACCAAAACCCCTCCAGGCAGGTGCTGGGGAGGGACAGGTGCCCTCTGTGTGTGGGGAATATTGGGGGTGGTGAGCAAGGGTCCTGGAGAGCTTGGGTTTCCTTCTGGCTCTAGGTCCCAGCTGTGGTTTATTTAGCACACGTTTACTCTGAAGTCTTTTCCAGGCATAGCCCTGGATCCTTTCAGCTCTCTTAACAGATGAGAAAACAGACCAGGAAGAGGAAGTAATTGACCCAAGGTCCCCAGGCTGGTAATGGCAGAGCTGGAATTCGAACTCAGATCTGACCCCCATCCTTGAGGGAGCGAAGCCGGTACTACGCACGCGCGCGAGGCCACGGTTCCCACCTAGGGCAGGTGAGCGGGGCGGCGCCGGGAGGGAGCGCTGAGTCCACAAACCTCGGCTCCAGGGTCCTCCATGCCAGGACCTGGCTGAGCTGACTCCGCGGAGACCGCAGCCCAGAGGTCCAACGGAAAGTCTGGACCCACCCCATCTTCCAGGCCTCAACTGATGGGAGACCAAGGGTCCTGGGGGACCGGCCTGGAGAGAGACCCCAATGTTGACCCCAGGCTGGGGGGGAGACCCCTCTCCTCCCCGCCCCAAACTGCCCCCTTCTAAACCCCCCACACCCTCAGGCCCGGTATCACTTGGAGGCAGGTGGGGAATGTGAGGGGCGGGGCCTGGGAAGGTGATCAGGTAGCCAGGTTAGGGCTCATTTGGGGTCTGGAAAATGTCCCTGTGGCTTAGGTCCTGGCATTCAGAGGACAGGGTCCTGGGGGGTTGTCGGTGGGGCTGCACTGGAGATCAGCCAGGCTGGGGAGGGGCACACAGAGAGTGGTGTCCTGGGTAACTCCAGGCACGGGTGCTTGTGAGGCTGTCGATATGTCTCTCCCCCTAGTTACCAAGAGCCTAGGAGTCCTGTCTGTGTTCACCTCTGAATTTCCTCCATTAGCCCTAGCTCAGCATGGTGCAACAGGTAAGTGTATAGATAATGGTGGTGGTCTGGGAGGGCTGCCTGGAGTAGGTGCACCAGGCTGCACCCTTCAGGGGACGGGGGATTTGATTGAAAGGCTTTTAGGGGAGCAGAGAGGTCACCCCTGGGAAGGAACCCAGGCATGGAGGCCAGGGTGTTCGTGGTGTGGAGGGAGCCATAGGCTTGGGGGCAGGAAGGATGGATGCCTGAAGAACTTTATGAGAGGAAGACTGAATGGGTGAGGATGGTGGAGGAGATGGACACGTCGGGGCAGGGAGGCAGCAGGACAAGCTCAAAGCTGGAGCCGGGGAGGGAAAGAGGATGGAAAGAGGGGAGACCCAGCTCTCTTCTAGGCAGGTTGGGGGTAGATTGGAAGGCCAGCTATCAAATGAGACACCAGCCTATGCTGTTCCATCAAGGTGTTGATTTAGAGTTAGAAGTTCTCTTCACTACTCTGGTCTAACCCTCCTCATCATGTAGAGCGGGGAAACTGAGGCCAGGAGGTTGACATGACTGGACAGAAGACGGAAGATGGAAAGGGGAGATGAAGGGAGAAGGGAAGATGCAGCTTTACAGGTGGGAAGAGGAGAAGCAGAGATGGAAAGAGCTGGGAGGAAGTGCCTTATAGCCTCTCCAAGTCGCCTTGTCAGCCCCGAGAGGGAGTCCTTGTCCACTCTTCTCAGGGGCAGCCTATGGGGTGTCGGGACAGGAGGAGACCATCTCTGCTCTCTGCCATCAGGCTTGGTGGCTACAGTGATCAACAGCTCTCAGTGACCCTGGCCCTGGCTGCAGGGAGAGTCCACATGGGAAAGTGAAGGGTCTCTGTGCATGGCACAGGTGTTTGCACAGGTGGGGGAGGGAGGAGAGAAGTCCCCTCACTTCCAGCGCCTTGCCTTCTGCACTCACCATATGTTACTCGAGAACCATGGTGCAAGCCAGGTGCTAGTGCTCGTGTCTGTAATCCCAGCTACTCGGAGGCAGAGATCAGGAGGATCAGGGTTTGAAGCCAGCCTAGGCAAATAGTTCTCAGGACCCTATCTCAAAAACCCTTTCACAAAAAAAGGGTTGGTGGTTGGTGGAGTGGCTCAAGGTGAAGGCCCTGAGTTCAAGTCCCAGTACTGAGAAAAAAAAAAGAAAAGAAAGAAACCCATGGTGCAGCTAATCGTAACCTTGCTTCACTCAGCAACAGTGTCCAGGTTTGCTCTGGGTTGTGGTGGGGTGCCCCTCACCTCCCTTGTCACGTCTTTTGCACTGCCAGCTGGCTTGGTTTGTCCCAGTGCCCCCAAATGACTCCCAACCAGGCCTGCCTTCCATGCAGCATGCCCACTGGTCTTCAGCCATGTCCTTTCCTTCCCCTGCTCATCCCTCACCACCACAGGAGGTGACAGTGCTCCTTCTGCAGGGCTGCTGGCTCCCTCCACAAGACAGAGGGAAAGTGGACTGGCTGAATAAATATTCCTCCAAGCTGTGAATAAGTAGTAGCTTCTTCCCCTACAGGGAGGTGTGAATCTTAGAAGTCCATCCCCCACCCCGTCCTTACCCTCAACTTTAACCAAGCACCCAAGCACAGAGAGTAGAGTTTGACTCTTCTATATTCATTACTTCATTTGCTTTTCCCAACGGCTTTATTGGACAGGCATTATAGCCTCCCTTTTCCCAATGGGAAAACCAGGGTTCAGAGAGTTTGAGCAAGTTCCCAGGGCAAGACAAGAAGTGGTGAAGAGCTGGGTGCCAGTGGCTCACGCCTGTAATCCCAGTTACTCAGGAGGTAGACATCAGGATTGTGGTTCAAAGCCAGCCTGAGCAAATAGTTCACAAGACCCTACCTCAAAAAAGTTGTCATAGAAAAGTGCTAGTGGAGTGGCTCAGTCAGTAAGAGCACCTGCCTAGCAAGCATGAGGCCCTGAGTTCAAGCCCCAAAACCACCAAAAAAAAAAAAAAAAAAAAAGAAATGCTGAGGTTGGGACAACAGTGGTGCGCTCTCAAAGCCAAGACCAGCCAGCGCTTACCTGTGACAGCCCAGCTTCTTCCTTCAAAAGAAATCTTACTCCGGCCAGGTGCTGGTGGCTCACACCTGTAATCCTAGCTACTTAGGAGGCAGAGATCAGGAGGACCGCAGTTCCATCCCAGCCCTGGACAAACAGTTCTCCAGACTCTGTCTCGAAAAAACCCAACACAAAAAAGGGCTGGTGGAGTGGCTGAAGAGGTGGAGCTCCTGCCTAGCAGGCGCCAGGCCCTGAGGTTAAAAGAACAAACTTAACAGATGATGATGAAAGATAAGCCCTAAGTGGAATTGGCTCCTTTGCTGAGGGCCCTGACCTCTGACCTCTAGGCCTAGTGTATTTAGACTGCAGGAGTCTCTGTGGACACTGAAACGATGCCCAAACCTTTCTGTGTGCAGGGGGTCTGTCCATTCTTCAGCAGAAGGCTCTTCCTGGCAAGAGCCATTGAACCCCAGGTTCCTGTGGCCAGAAGTCCAGTCACTGAGTAAGGGGATTTAAGATCCAGGTCTCACTGTCTGCTCAGGTCCTCATTCTGCAATCAGAAGGCAATCAGAAGGCAAACAGCTGGTGCAAAATAGTTGGATGGAGATGTCCTTCTGCTGGCAGTGGGACGGGCGTTAACAGAATTGAAAGACTGCAACTGTAGGGCTTGAAGAGGCTTGGGAAGGGCCCAGGAGGGAATTGGGGGTTCAGAGAAGACATGCACCGTGCCCGACACCACCCAGCACATTGGCAGCAGGTGATAGCGCATGCATGTTTGAGGTCAGCTGCAGAGGCCCGTGGGCTTTAAAGTTAGGCCGAGGCAAAGAAAAAGCCTCTTCTGCGTGCCACACCCAGCTCAGTGCTTTCTGCTGGCATCTCTACCCTGTGACACAGGAGATGTCCCAGCTCTGTCATTGCTTTTCCCTTATGCAGGTGATGCTGAATTTAGAAAACAAGGACAGGAAGGGAGTGGCCTGGGCCATTGCTCTAATCTTGACCACCCTGGGCTACCTGCACATACTGCTGGTCTCCATCTTTCCCTTCTGGGTGCGGCTCGTGAATGAGGAGACTCACGAAGTGTTTTTCAGTGGTCTGTTTGAGAACTGCTTTCATATCAAGTGCTGGAAGCCTCGACCCCTATCTAGTAAGGAGATGGGACCATTGTTGGAGACTGTGGGGGGGGTGTGTGAAAGGACAGATTGGAGGTAGAGGACAACATTTAATAAGCCATCAAGGGCGTTTTCTCTGAGTCTGCACTCTCCTGGGGTCAGAGGAATGGAGGAGACTGGGAAGGACTAACACAGCCCAGTGGATTACTGAGGTAGGGACCAGTCTGTTAGGAACAGAGTTTCTCTGTAGGCCAGGCGTGCCATATGCACTGCTCTGTCCGGAGAGGCTGACACAGCTCCCAGGGTTGCTGCCAGCTGCACAAACTGACCTCAGCCCCCTCGTGCATAAGCCCAGCTGCAAGCCACGGGGAAGAGCCTGGTTAGCAGAGCCTGAGCTGGGTTTCAACCTTCCCAGATGTAGCTCTGCAGATTTTGTGCTCTGGTCTGGGGACATTTGAAAAGGAGTGGTCACAAGTATGTCTTCAGAGGGTGCTGAAGGCACTTGAGACCATTTTTGCCAGGAGCTGTGTTGCTGGGGATTGAGCAGGATGGGTAAGTAGCGCCCTTGCCCTCTTCACCCACTAGACACCTGTGGCATTACTCCCCCTTGGTTGTGACAACTAAAATTATCCCCAGGTGTTGCCAAACTGCTACTGGTTGAGAACCACTGGGCTTAGTCTAAGGGAATGTTCTAGAACATCTGGGTCTTTTGTGACACTTTCCTTTTTTTGGTGGTACTGGGGCTTGAACTCAGAGTCTTGCGCTTGCAAGGCAGGCACTCTACCATCTGAGCCACTCCGCCTGCCCTAGGACAGTTTGATCTTACGTTGCCTCTTAAAGCTATCGCTTCCCCAACATGGTTTTCCCACGGGATTTAATACAACCAAATTCACGTAATAACATCTGCTAAGAACCAGTGGATGATTTCTGTACTCGACATCGTCAATCTCATTATATACATATCATATATAAATATATAAATATTTATGTAATATATATTTTTCCATATTATTGGAAACAAAATGGTGAGGCCAGAGCATTTTTGGAGGCGAAGTGGCAAGGTCCCAACATAAAACCCAAGGCAATGCTTGGGACCTGAGGGTGGTAGAGGCTCTGGTGCCATCTGTGCCAGACTCTGAGGAGCTTTGCCCTTTGGGGGACAGGGTCCCCAGCTCCAGCCCAGGCTCTGTCTCCCCTGCAGTTTACATCCTTCTCGGCCGAGTCTTTCTGCTCTCTGCTGTCGTCTTGGCTTTCCTCGCAATCTTCCTCATGGTGTCCATCGCCTCTGAGTTCTTCCTGAGGACCCGGAAACACAACATGGTGTCATCCTTCATCAGCTTCCTCACAGGTGTGCACCAGCCGGGCGGCCCATGCTTTGCTAGGGGAGGGGCGCAGTGGGCTTTTGATCTCTGGTGGTGACAACAGAGCTATAATTAAACATCCTCCCCCACCCGGGCTTTGCCTTCTCTATGAGGTAACCCAGCCCACACCTGCCCTCTCAGAATCTATGAGGCCTCTTTTTTGGGTCTCTCAATACTCCTTTTCCAGCTCTGACCTTGTTGGTTTGGGGGGGTCATATGTCTGGGAGGTCACCTGTCTACCCACAGCAACTATCATAGAATCTGGCTTAGAATTATAATTTTTCTTTTGGTGCTGGAGCTTGAACTCAGGGCTTCAAGCCACTCCACCAGACTTTTTTTTGGAGTTTTTTTTTTTTTTTCGAGATAGGGTCTTGTGAACTATTTTCCAGGCTGGCTTTGAACTGCCATCCTTCTGATCTTTGCCTCCTGGGATTACAGGTGTGAGCCACCAGGTGGCGCCCGGCTTAGAATCATGATTTAAATATACAATACTCATCTCTGCCTTTTGGAACCTTTGACATTTAATTGGGTGAGCAAGACCACACTCTTGGAAGCTCCCAGGCCAATGGAGGAGCTTTTAACATGTTGTGGGAAAATCGGGTTGAGTTTCATCTGTAGTGTCACACCCAGAAGGACCAGCCCGAAGTGAACCAAGGCACAGACGCAGAGAGTTCAGGAAAGAGGTCCCTGGGAAGTGAGGCACCTGGGTTGGAGAGGAGTTCAGAATGGGGGGTTGGGAGACAGGCGTGGGGTGGGGTTGCAGGAAGGACAGAGGGGTCTCCAAGCAGGAGCCACACAGGCTCCATCTGACTCAGTGTGAGGAAGGCTGGAGCTGATGCAGGGAGTGGGGAGGACAGCGAGGATGCGCCCCTGTTGCCCTGCAGGGGTCTGTGCCTTCCTGGCCTTGGTCTTTCATGCTCTGGAGATCCGGGACCTGAGGATGAAGCCCAGCCCCCCACAGTTCTTCGTGCAGTGGCCTTACTACATCCTGGGTTTTGGTGTCCTTCTGTTCCTGGTGGCGGGTGAGTGTTCTGGCTACCACCCCTCTCCCTGTCCTCTGACTCCAGGGATTCTTTAGAGCTGCCCTGTGACACAGCCATATGAAACATGGCTGTTTGATTAAAGTACAGTTAATTCAGTTCAGCCTTCTTCAGACTAGAAACAAACTCTCCCAAACGCCTGCACTCCCCTTAGGCCATCCTGGTTCTTCTTTGTTTTCTGAGACAGGGTCTTTCTTTTTTGGTGGGACTTGTGTTTGAACTCAGGGCTTTGCCCTAGCAAAGCAGGTACTCTCCCGCTTGATTCACACCTCCAGTCCATTTTGCTCTGCTTATTTTGGAGATAGGGTCTCATAATCTATTTGCTCAGGCTGGCCTCCAACCATGATCCTCCTGATCTCTGCCTCCCAAGTAGCTAAGATTACAGGAGTGAGCCACTGATCCCTGGATCCCTTGGAATTTTATTTGTGGAAAATCTCTGAGACAGATTTTTTTTTTTTTTATAGTACTGGGGCTTGAACTCAGGATCTACACCGTGAGCTACTCCACCAGCCCTTTTTTGTGATGGGTTTTTTCGAGATAGGGTCTCATGAACTATTTGTCTGGGCTAGCTTTGAACCACGATCTTCCTGGTCTCTGCCTCCTGAGTAGCTGGGATTACAGGAGTGAGTCACTGACACATGGTGAGACCCAGATTTTAAGTGTTTCCTCCTAAAAGGATTTGGAATTGCTTTCTGCCTATTGCTTGGTACAGCAGCCTAGGACCGCAAACGGCACATAGCAGCTGGCCTGCATTGGTAAATTCTCTGTTAGGACAGGTGACTTTGATGTCCCAACTTCATACAGCAGGCCCTTATAGATGCCTGGGGACTTTTCTCCTGTTTTCTGTGTCCACAATGACCAACAGAATAGAAACTTGGGTCACCTGGGTTGGGTGCATATCTCCTGGGTAGTTCTTTTTTTTTTTTGTTGGTACTAGGGTTTGAACTCAGGGCCTCATGCTTGCTAGGCAGGCACAATCTCCCAGGTGAAGGCTAATGTGTGTTTGCTTAGCTGTCTAGGTTCCTGTTTTCACTTTGGTTTGGCTTCTAAGAATAACCTACTTTGATACCATCTTGGTAATGAATTTTAAAAATAACTTTTTAAATAAACATTTTGTTTAGAATTTTTGCTACTTTTTTGGGGGAGGCGACATTGGAGTTTGAACTCAGGGCCTCACACTTGCTAGGCAGGTGCTCTGCCAACTTAAGCCACTCTGCCAGCCCTTTTATAAGTTGGGTTTTTTCAAGATAGGTTCTCACAAACTATTTCCCTGGGCTGGCTTCGAACTGTGATCCTCTTAATCTCTGCCTCCTGAGTAGCTGGGATTACAGGCGTGAGCCACCGGCACCCAGCTCTATTTATTCTTATGAACATTGACTGTCTTTTTCTTTTCTTTTACTTTCCTGGGGGTCTTGCATTGGGCCTCAGGGGGCTTGGGTTTTCTGTTGCATGTTCCTGTCTCTGAAGCTTGTTCACTCACTATTAGCGGGCTGGACAGTTCCTGAGAGGCCTTTCAGCTCTGGCCATGTTCCCTGATTTTTTTTTTAACCCACTTATTCGATGCGTCTGTTTTCTGCCTCTGTAACACTCTGCTGGGCGAGAGGGTCCCAGAGGGAGCCCTAGAAACAGAGGGGCTTGCATGAGGGGAGGGAGTCCTGACCTCCACACCACAGTGCCCAGCACTCCCTCTGACCTGACCCGAGCCTTTGCTGTTGCCTAGGTACCATCAGCCTCTCTCAAGAAATCACCTGCCTTAGCTGGCATCTGTTGCCCATCTCCCAGGGTACTGAGACCACTCAGGGGAACCCACATACGGAGAAGATGGTGAGTTTTGGAGGAGAACTGAGCTCCATACAAAAGGAGACACTGCTGAAGGAAGAAACAGTTACCTAACCTGGGATATGACAGTCTCTCTCTCTCCCCTCCTTCCAGCTACGTGAGTACCTTGTTCCTGGGTGTATACAGCTCCTCCGCCTGCCAGGCTCTGCTGCCTCTGAGGGCTTCTCAGTGTCCAGCTAAGCCTCCTCTCTTCCTTGCTCCTACTTGAAATTTGTTCAAATTTTTGCAGTGTTCGGAACATCCCCAGTGATTTTCTTTTCTTTTTTTGGCGGTACTGGGGTTTGAACTCAGGGCCTCATGCAGACGCTCTACCACTTGAGCCACTTGACCGGCCCTGTTGTGTGTTTTCTTTTTTCAATCTTATTTTTATTGTGCTGGGAGGGGGTGCATTGTAGCATTTACAAAAGTTCTTACAATATATCAAATATTATCATGCTTGAAGTCACTCTCTCCATCAGTCTCCTTTATCTCCTCCCCGCCCCCCATTCCTGGAATAGCTTCTACAGGTCTCATTTTTCCATCTGCATGTGTGTGTACACCATTATTCATCTTCTACTCCCTTTCTCCATCTTCTCCCCCCACCCTCGGCAGGACCTCTTCTACCTTCTGTTCTCCAATTTTGTAAAAGAGAAAAAAATGACATTTTTGCCTGGTTAAGACAGGTACATGGGGGATTAGCTATGGAAGATTGTGGCACTTCCATGTATATATGTTTATAGCCTGAATTGGTGCATCTCCTCTATTTTTCTTCTTTTAACCTGGTGTTGTGTATTTTTGGGATAGGGGCTCAGGAACTATTTGCCCAGGGCTGGCTTTGAACCATGATCCTCCTGACCTCTGCCTCCTGAGTAGCTGGGATTACAGGTGTGGGCCACCATGCCAGGCTAGTGATTTTTCTTTTTCTTTTACAGATATTTTCAATAAAAAAAGGGCTACTCTGACGACCCATGCCTTCAAAACCAAGTGTGGAAGCCAGGAGGAGAGGAAAGGCTATTTATTACATGACCAAATGATGTGAGATTTTCAAACAAACACTGTACAGAACAGGAATTTGAATTGAGGACATTAAAAATGGTGTTCCCAGATGAAAGTGGGACTTCAAACATTTCTTAACTATGTGTTGGGGGGATGGAACTGAGTGAAGGAAGGGACACTTTCCCCCAAATCGAGTACCTGAGACTGGAAGCCTGAGCCCAGTGAGTCTGTGTGACCGGGAGAGCACAGGCAAGTCAGTCGCCACTCACTCCATCCTCTCAAAGAGCTGGGGGCCTCCTGAGCAGTCAGGCTAGTTGTTTTGCTTTTATCCATAGGAATTTTGGGGACACTAAATGCATTGGCATTCCTCTAACTTATCTGTCCTCCAAATACCTGCGCCTTCCCGAGTGCAAGTTTCCTGGACGTCAGTGCCCTTCTCTGGCTTTTCCTGCTTGGGGAAATAATTCTTAAGCTTTGTTGTCGTTTTTCTGGCAGCACTGGGGCTTGAACTCAGGGCCTCATACTTAACTTGGCAGGTGCTCTATCACTTGAGCCACTCTGCCAGCCTTGTGGAAATAATTCTTAACTCCATAATCCTAACCGAAGTGTCACCATTGCTGTGTCTTAGACAGTCCTCCTGTTACAGCCAGTTTGAGATGCTTACTTGTTTGTTTTCCTGGAGAATTTGGTACACATCTATGCTACAGTACTTTTACTATAGGTAAAATATTAAAAATAGAGAGTTAAACTTAGGCAGTCATGCTTCCTCCTTTAGGTATCATGAAATAATTTAGAACAGATTAATGCTACTGCAGTGAGTCAGTGGGGGGGGGGGGTCCTAGCTGTGCCTGCCAGGGACGTCACATTCCTACCTGGGAAGTGACACTGCCCCTGGAATTGGGACCCATCATTCACTCCCAGGGCTGGAGGCAGGTCCAGGATGAGAGTCAGAAGGCTGGGAGCTGCCCCAGCTTCTGCCACCTCCCCTATTATGTGGCCCCCAGCAAGTCACTGAGCATCAAACCTGCTCTCGTGTAAAACTCAAGAAGCAAACCAGCCACAGCCCGACTGTTGTGAGACACAGAGGCTTGGTCTTTGAACACTCCAGAGCTCTGGGTTCCAGGTTCTGATCCTTCATGTTCCTCACACCGAGGACACCCAAGCAAATGGGACAGAGTGAATTTTCTTGAAATCTCAGTTTTGGGGAGCCCTACACAGTGACAAGCTGTCACACAACTTTTCTGGTGCTCTGAAGCTTCCAGGTGTTCCAGGGTTGTCCTGGGTAAGACTCACCCTTCTGCCCCCAGAGCAGTTGATAGTTGGAACTAGAAGGCCAACATGGAGACACTGGGAAACCTGGAAAGTTACCTCAAAGTGCCCTGTATGACTTTGAGTCTGCAAAGTGAATGGATTTCAGCTTTGTATATGAGAGAAGAAAATAATTAGAATGTTTATTGATGGTCTGCCAGAAATCAATAAATACATCAGAGCTGGGTGCTGAGGCTCACGCCTGTAATCCCAGCTATTTAGGAGCCAGAGATCAGGAGGATCACAGCTCGAAGCCAACCTGGGCAAATAGTTCAGGAGACCATATTTAAAAAAAAAATTCATCACAAAAATGGGCTGGTGGAGTGGCCTAAGGTGAAGGCTCTGAGTTCAAACCCCAGTTCCACAAAACAAAGAAATAAACAAAAAACACATCAGCTGTCTCTGTAGACATGGGAAGCACTGGTGAAAGAGAAAGCTTGAAACTGTGGGAGAGGAGGGACATTGGTCACCTGGAGAAGGGGAGCAGGGCTTTGCCCTGTGAGGAAGGGGCCTCGTATGCTGTCTGTAATAAAATCTGAGACCCACACACGAGTTTTCTGTAACTGCTGCTTCCACTCATGCAAACTATGAAGTGTGTCTCACCTCTAAGTCTTAGGTTTGAACCTCACCACCTGCTTTTTTTTTCATTTTTTAAATTTATTTTTTAATTTTTATTTTATTCATATGTGCATACAATGTTTGGGTCACTTCTCCCCCTGCCCCCACCCCCTTCCTTACCCGCCTGCCCCCTCCCTCTCCCCCCCACCCCCTCCGTACCCGGCAGAAACTGTTTTGCCCTTATTTCTAATTTTGTTGTAGAGAGAGTATAAGCAATAATAGGAAGGAACAAGGGGTTTTGCTGGTTGAGATAAGGATAGCTATACAGGGCATTGACTCACATTGACTTCCTGTGCATGTGTGTTACCTTCTAGGTTAATTCTTCTTGATCTAACCTTTTCTCTAGTTCCTGGTCCCCTTTTCCTATTGGCCTCAGTTGCTTTAAAGTATCTGCTTTAGTTTCTCTGCATTGAGGACAACAAATGCTATCTGGTTTCCTAGGTGTCTTACCTATCCTCACCCCTCCCTTGTCACCACCTGCTTTTGACAGTCTAATTGTACCTATGGCTTTTAACAAAAGAAAAGAAAAGGAAAGGTTTCTTTTCTTAAAAAAGAAAAAGAAAATAATAGTGTCCTGTTGCACTTTTTTTTTTTTTTTGCAGTACTGAGGCTTGAACTCAGTCTGCACCTTGAGCCACTCCTTCAGCTTCTTTTTTGAGATAAGATCTTTCAAACTCTTTGCCTGGGCTGGCTTTGACTTTCGATTCTCCTGATCTCTGCCTCCTAAGTAGCTAGGATTACAGGCATGAGCCACTGGTGCCTGGCTTGCCAGTCCTGTTCTTACAGACATTTAGACTGTTCCTGGTCTTCGGCCTTTTCAAAGTATGACTTCTGTAGTCTTAAAAGCCCTCAAGTGATTTTTTTTTTTGTGGGACTGGGGTTTGAACTCAGGGCTTCATGCTTGCAAAGCAGGTGCCCTACCACTTGAACCAGTCCTCCAGTCCATTTTGCTCTGGTTATTTTGGAGATGGGGGTGTTGAACTATTTGCCCAGGACTGACCTCAAACGTTCAGTCTCCCAAGTAGTTGGGATTACAGGCATGAGCCATGGCACCCGGTTTCTGTCTGATTCTTTCTCTTCTGGTTTGTATAATTTAACCTCTTGTTGTCCACCTCTTTTTCCTCTTGCTCAGTCTTTCTAAAATCTGTTATTTCTAACCCTTTGGTCTTTCCGCCACTTTCCACCTCCTAAAAGCTGTGCTAGTGCAGAAGCTAGTGCTTCTGTTGGTGTGGAAATGTCACCAATCCTTACACTATATATACTTTTTTGGTGGCGCTGGGGTTTGAACTCAGGGCCTTGTGCTTGCTAGGGAGAAGCTTTATCACTTGAGTCACTCCACCATCCCTTTTTGCCTTTTTAAAGGTATTTTTCAGATATGCCCAGGCCAGCCTGGATCACAATGGTTCTATTTACGCTGGCAGTAGCTAGGATGACAGGCACCTGACATCACACCCATCTTTTATTGGTTGAGATGGGAACTTTTTGCTTGGCTGGCATCGAACCCAAGATCCTCCCTATCTGTCCAAGTAGCTAGGATTACAGGCGTGAGCCACCATGCCTACTTGATGCCTTTCATTTTTTTAGGTCCACCTTTTAAAACAGGTGCCTGCTCCTCCACGAAGCCTTCTCTGATTACTCCCCCACTCCCACCCTGGGATCCAGGACCCTAATGGGTGAACCTACACTGTCCAAGGCTTCTTTCATCACTCTCTGCCCACTAATACACATTGGCGCTCCTCTGAGAGGGGGAGGAGCTGTGTCCAGGACTGCGTGACACACCGCATCCTTTGCAGGTGCAAAAGGATCCGAGGTGCAATTCAACCTGATGACCTCTAGGGGGAAGTCAGCGCCTCATAAGGAGCCTGGTGAGGCCTAGTGACCACCGAGACGCACCTCCGAGACCTCCAAGCATCCTAGAGAGGAAACGGAAGCGGCGCCCTTGCCGTGTGCACCTGTCTGACGGCGTCCGTCTCTCACTTCCGGTCCGCGGAGGGCACGGGTGTGCCCCGTGCAGGTGCCGGACGGCGGGGTGATAGCCGGGTCCGCGCGGGCGGTGGACTAGGGTTTGAGGTGGAGTAGGCCGGACCGTGGTACCGCTGCGGTACCGAGGCACAACGGGTCCCAGCGTGGACAGCTGCGCCGCCGGAACTCAGGTAGGAGCGAGCGCGGCTGATCCCGCCCGGCCGGGCTTGGCCTAACCCGGGGTGTCCTAGAACCCGAGGAGATCTAGAAAGAACGTAGGTGGCAGTCTTTATAAAGTGCCAGAGATGAGAGACGAATGAGGTCTCTCCTGCCTGCAGGGTAAACATGTGCATTGTGGTGCAGCGCATGCATTAATGGGGCAGACAAATGCAAGAGCTAGAAAGTCGTGAAAAAAAAGAGAGAAGACGATGCGATGCCCGCCGGGGCCGGGCGTGGTGGGGCACGTCTGTAATCCCAGCACTCGGGAGGCTGAGGCAGGAGGATCGCGAGTTGGAGGCCAGTCTGGGCTACATATTGAGATCCTGCCCCGTCCCCCCCACTCCCCAAAAAACAACCAACCAACCAAAATCCGTTTAAGGGGGATAGGTGAATACATAAACACCCACTAGAGTATTTAGCAGAAGTTTGGGGGAGCCTCTTGTCCATTCTGTGGGTTAGTCGGGGTGATCTGGTCCTTCCCAGTTGCTTTCCTCTTAAGTTCTGCTTCATGGAGGTGAATAGGTCTGGGAACCTCTTCTTCCTCCAGCATACTGGGCTTTTATTTGCCTTTTTTTTTTTTTTTTCTTTTTGCAGTACTGGGGTTTCCAGGGTCTACACCTTGAACCACTCCACTATAGCCCTTTTTTGTGATTTTTTTTTTTTTGAGATAGGGTCTCACGAACTATTTTTCTGGGGGGCTTTGAACCTTGATCCTCCTGAGTAGCTAGGATTACAGGCATGAGCCGTGGTGCCTGGCCGTCTTTCTGCTTTTTCATGTAATTTTTCACGTGTGTTATGTATACCATGCCTTTTGGGAGACAGACATTCAGGACATACAGTATTGCTTTATTGGCTTTAGGCTGAGCACTATCACATCCAAGCCACCGGCAGGTTTGTTGGTTTTACCTCTCAAATTGTCTTGATTTTATTTGCTTCTTTATCACCACCCTGATCTTAGCCCCTGTCATTTGCTTGAACCACTGGACGTTCCGCTTCCCTTCTTTCCTGCTCTAATCTGTCCTCTATAGACTTTGGAAAGATGTAGCTGCCTACTAAATTAAGAAAAGGAATAAAGCCGCTAGTTCTTTGTTTTCTTTTGTGGTGCAGGGACTTGAACCAGGGTCTCAGGCATGCTGGGCTTGCGCTCTACCACTGAAGTACACACCAGTCCTGGGCCATAGTTCTTGCTGTGGTCCAGGTCCTGGGGAACGTAGGTTCTGCCAGCTCGTCTCCAGCAGCTCTGCCCCTCATTCTGCTGAGGCTGTGCAGGGCTTTGGTTTGCTCTCGAACACAAGGGATGATTTCTAGCCTCAAGGCTTTTGCCTGGATGCGCTTTGACTGGCTTGTTCTCAGCCTAGGCATCATATCTCTAGCAAAGCCTTCTCCAAGTCCACTGTCCCCACTACCAGAGCACCCTGCTTATTTCCTTTCTAGAACTTTTCCTCACTTGCAATTTTTACTTACTTGCTTACATTTGATTTTTTTCCCTGTGTGCTGTATTAATTAGTATGAGTTTCAAGAGGGTTAGCTCCTTGTCTCTCTTCCACTAGTTTCTGCATGCCTGGGAGGGTATCTCTCTACCCACCTACCTACCTACCTGTCTGTCTGTCTGTCTGTCTGTTGTTTGTCATCTATCCATCCATCATCTATCTGCTTATTATCTGTCTATTGTCCATCTGTCTAGCTATGTATCTTTGTGCATCTATCCATTCTTTATCCACTATCATCTCTAGTCCTCCATTATCCATCCATCCTTTCTATCTATCATCTATTTATCAGTCATCTGTATTTATCAGTCATCTATATCATCTCTACTATCATCTGTCTGTCATCTGTCTATCATCTATCTATCAGTCATTTATCTATCATCTGTCGATCAGTCATCTCTATATCTGTCCATCTGCACACAGGGATAGTCATGTGTTGTTTAATGATGCACTGTTGTGACCCCCATAGCATATACACAGGCATAGTGGCATAGATCAGTTACTTGACATGGGCTCGAGATGCGCTGAAGAGACAACACAGATATACAAGGCTCCTGGAGTGTGACATTTACAGTGAACTTTCTTGTTTTTAGTAAGCAGAAGAAACACCATGTAACACAATAATTAAAACTGTAGTATATTAAACACATCAGCCAGTGTCTAGTCATTTATTGTCATTACCAAGAAGTAACACAGCCACTTGTTGTCATCAAGTACAACGTACCGCACGTGATTATGTGCTCTACTTTCTTACAACTGGCAGCAGTAGGTGGGTCACCCCAGTGTTACCAAAACATGAGTGCTGTGTTGCGCTCCACAGTATATGCTGTGTGCTAGGGTGGCTGTGTGTCACCAGAAGACAGGAAGTACTGAGCTGCATTATAATATTGTTTTGTTTTCCAGGGCTGGGGAGGGAACCCAGGCCCTGTGCGTGCTAGGCAAGCGCTCAAGCCCTGAGCTACATCCCAGCCCCCCATTTTAATCTTACAGAACCACCATCGTACACACTTGCTGTCTGCTGTTACGTGGTGCATGACTGTGCATGTGTGTTGAATGTATGGTTCCTTTAGTGTTGAAAGAGTGGCCCTGGTGATTGACTTAATTGTCACCACTGTGTTTTATTCCCTGACCGTAGTGTCATCTTATGGGTATCTTGTGGGCGTGAGCTGAGCCTTCTCCATTCTTTCTTTTTTCTCTGTGCTGTGCTCTGCAAATACTGAGTGACCGATGTGCCCTTCGGCCTCCTGTTCAGCCTGTTGCTCTAGCAGGTCACTTCCGCGTCCTCTAGTGGAGGTAGTAGACACAGAGCTGGGATGAACTGACCTTCCATGTGTGTCGTGTTCCCCAAAGGGTCACTGATGCAGCTGCCGTTATTTGTCTCCTGGGAGGCAGCGTGAAGATGCTGAAGGAGCGACCCACGATGGCCGAGGATCCCCGGCAGCACGTGGGTGTTCCCGTGGTGAAGCTGGAGCAGGAGTTGCCATGGGGCAGGGCACAGGAGGACTCCAGTCCCGAGACTTTTCGCCTGAGGTTTCGGCAGTTCCGCTACCAGGAGGCAGCAGGTCCCCAGGAAGCCCTCAGGGAGCTCCAAGAGCTGTGCCGCCAGTGGCTGCGGCCCGAGTTGCACACCAAGGAGCAGATCCTGGAGCTGCTCGTGCTGGAGCAGTTCCTGACCATCCTGCCCCGGGAGTTCTATGCTTGGATCCGGGAGCACGGCCTGGAGAGTGGCAAGGCCCTGGTGGCCATGGTGGAGGACCTGACAGGGAGCACGCTGGAGGCCAAGGCGGTGGGTGAGAAGAGGGCATCCAGGTCTTGCTGGTGGTGTGGGAACTGAAGAGTGGAGGGCTCTGAGGAAGGAGGGGGAGTGATCGAGGGGCAGCACCTTCCTCCTCTGCTCCCACGCTCCCTGATATCCTCCTGGAGCCATTCCCAGGGAAGATGCTGGTATGTGGGAGGGCCTGAGCCTTTGGGCAGAAACCTGTTTCCCTCGTGAGTCTCAGGCCCAAGGGCAGTTGCGATTGTTTGCAGGGCCCCCAGAGACCCAGCCCCCCTCTGGGGGAGATGTTCATGGGAGTGCAGGGCTGTAGCTGTGCTGTTTCTATGTCTGGGACATCAGATTCTTGGGCTCCTAAAATGACTCTGTGCTGCTTCTCTGATGACACCACAGACATGGCTTTGCAGCACAGATGCTGTTGCGAACTGGCCATGTTTCCATCCCTGTGTGCCATAGTCACACAGTGCCTGATTGCTGGGAAATGAGACCACGTCCCAATCCTTCAGTAGTCCAGCCTCCCACCTTGCCATGGCCCCCCACTTCCTGTCTCCAGAAGAGTTCTGAGACAATTTCTTTTCTGCCCCCAGCTCAGGGGCTTAAAAGTGGAGCAGGAAAGGCCCTGTGTGTGTGTATTCTCACCAGGAGCCTCTTGTCATCCTCCCTCTGCACGGCACTTGCTGCTCACCAGCTAGCTCACTGCACACTCTGGCCTCTGCGTTTTTAATTTACTTTCAGCTTCTGCAGTTGGGACACTTGCTTTCTAGTGCTGAGTGTTGTACTCAGTTTCTCCACAGACAGCCTTTGGGCTCTCTGTTATTTGTGTGAAGTTTTGTAGGTGTCGAGGCAGCAGAGCAGCTCTGGTCAAATGGTGTGTCAGATCTGAGGTGCTTGGAGCTCAACACAAGGAGCTTAGCTTCCTTTCTACCACCTCTCTGCCCGGGGAAGAGCTCAGTGGCTTTTTCCGCCTCTCCCCTGCAGCCGAATGGTTTTCTTAGTTCTCTTGTTAGGTTTAATTCAACTTCCTTCATAATAGCCTTGACTGAGCCTCCTTCTAACTGGTGTTGGGAACTGTCCTCAGGTGCCATGCCATGTGCAGGGAGAACAGCAGGAGACAGCTCTTGGCCGAGGTGCCTGGGAGCCAGGTGTCCACCTGGGGCCAGTGGAGGTCAAGCCCGAGTGGGGGATGCCCCACGGGGAAGGAGTTCAGGGCCACAGCACTGTGGAGCAGCTGAGTCAGGACCTTGGAGATGGGACCCAGGCCTTCCAGGAGCAGGGTAAGATGCCCATGGTGAGGACCGAAGGGCCTGGAAAGCTGTGCTCTGCAGTGACTCCCCCAGCCCCATCCTTCAGAAACCCAGCGCAGGTAAACTACCTTACCTGCAAGGTGTAATTTTGAATTCTTTAACCTCAATAGGAAACACGAAAGTGTTTTCTCTACCTTGGCTCTGGTTTCTGGAAGGGATTCGTGGAATCAGGTCCCTTACCATTTCTTCTCTCCACAGCCCTTCTAGAAACCACCAGAGCTACGCAGCTGACACGGGCATATTTGTTAAGTGGGTACAGAGGTCATACACAGAAGTAACTTTCTATAGTTACTGTATCTCAACAAGGGTTATCCCCAAGTGTGACCAGAAGGGACAGGGCTGGGACTTTCTTAGCTGGGTTAGTGTGTTGGCTAGTGTGGCCCCACAGTGATTCTGTTTGGAGCCTGTGGCTTCCTGACCTTGTGTGTGTGTGTTGGGTGGTAGGCATGTTGAGTGGGTTGAGTGTGGACAGTGCTGACACTTCTGTATTTCTGTCCCTGCTCAGCTCTGCCTGTTCTTCAGACGGGTCCAGGCCTCCCGGCAGTGAGCACCAGAGACCATGAGATGGCAGCTGGGTTCCTTACGGCGGGATCCCAGGTGAGCCGGAACTCCCCTGTCACAGACGCTGATGCTGCTTGGGCTGTGGTTCCCCTTCCCCACAGTTTCCAGTCCAGCAGTGTGCCATCCACAAGGCAGCTTCTGCCTTTCTAGTTCTGATGGCACAACTGTGCTGCCTTCTCCACTGTGCCACTGACCAGTCCTTAGCCACACTGAGTTACACCTGGGCCTGAAGTCCCAGATACTTTTTTTTTTTTGAGGGGCTTATTAGGGAGTCCAGGCTGGCCTTGAACTCAAGATCCTCCTGCCTCAACCACCTGAGTGCTGGGATCACAGGTGTGTCCTGCCACCCCTGGCTGAAGCCCCAGGTCAATGTGCTGGTACTTCCTGTGTCCTTGTGAGGAGGGAGACATTACTGAGAGACTCCCCACAGGTGTCTTGCTGTGGTGGTTACCTGGAGACAGACACCATTTGTGGCTGTGTCTGTGGCTCCTCCTTGGGAAACAGCAGTGTTTAGGTGTTTGGCTCAGGATGGAGCTCCCAGGGCATTGAGCAGTGTCTCTGACCCACACTTTTCCCCTCTTGGGGCCTTGTGAACATTTGTCACCCTGCCACACAGAATAGTGATGTACAGACAGGGCGATGCCAGGGAAGTAGGTTTCCAATGGGGCACCTTTCTGAAGGGGGACCAGTCTTAAAGGCTTCTTAAAAAGCTGAGCATGGTGGTAGACACGTATAATCCCAGTTACTCCAGAGGCTGAGACAGGAAGATCTCAAGTTCAAGGCCAGCCAGAGTTACTTGAAGAAGAAAAGTGGTTATTGGACAAAAAAAAAAAAAAAAAAAAAAGAAATGAATTGGACCCAGGAAGCCATACTTGGGCAAGACTCGATGCCCTCGCCATCTTGCATTCTGTTTTCCGAGGACACGGTTCGAGGGGGTGAGGAAGGGCATTGGTTTTTTGTTACTTTTGGTCAGAATTCCCCTTCACCATCCTGGTTATTCATGGTGGAGTGAATGAGAAAACAAAACTGCAGTGTTCTCACGGCGCAGCTGCTCCTAGGCTCTGAAGCTGAGTGGAGTGCAGGTGACTGTGACTGTGAGTGGTTGCCGAGGTGGCCGGGGCAGACTGAGCCGCACCATGGAGGCCAAGCAAGTGCATCGGGAGGTGTGTGGCTGGCTCCCGAGGCAGCCTGTGGTGGGCTCCTTCTGTCCTGCTCTGCTCTGCCTTTGCTCTCGCACTGTCCGCACTTTTTCTTTTCAGTACTGGAGCTTGAACACAGGGCCTCACGCTGGCCTCTTGAGTCATGCCCCAGAACTTTTGTTTTTATTTGTTTTTTTTTTTTTTTTTTTTTGGCATTACTGGGGTTTACCCTATGTTTTTTGCAGTACTGGGAATTGAATTCAGGGCTTGAGCATGCTGGGCAAATGCTCTACCACTGAGCTTTGAACTCAAGGTCTTATATGTGCTAGGCAAGCACTGAACCACTGGAGCTGCACCACCAGTCTTATTTTGCTTTGAGAGGGCCTCGCTGTGTAATCCAGGCCGAGGTGGAGCTCATGATTTTGCTGCCTTTGCCTCCTGAATAGGTGGGGTTGTGGGCGTGGGCTGCTGTGCCCAGCTCTTGGGACTTCTTCATCCATTGCAACCTCCTGTTGTTTCAGGGGTTGGGGCCATTTAAAGACGTGGTCCTGGCCTTCCCCGAGGAGGAGTGGAGGCATGTGACCCCAGCCCAGATTGACTGCTTTGGGGAGTATGTGGAGACGCAGGAATGTGGGGTCCCTCCAGGTAAGACTGCCTCTACCCCGCAGGTGACAAACAGGAGTTTGGAAACTATAGGTCAGCGGCCTTGCCCTAGCCCTGGTGTTACTGACAGAGGAGAGGGTTTCATGGCAGGTAAGGGAAGAGTGTGGGTGGGCGGGCGTGGAAGGAGTCAGTTTAGTGCATTCCTGTGTCAGAGGAGCCGTGCAGTGGAGCAAGAAAACACAGGGCAGTTACACTGGCTGTAGGTTGCACTGCCTGCTGCCTGTCTGTGAGTGAGGGGCTCCGGCTGAGAGCAAGAGGGAAACAGCAGGGCGTCCTTAGGTCTCCTTCACTCAGCAGACAGTCAGTGAGCGCTCTCCACATGCAGGCCCGTGGTGTGGCTTTTGATGCAGCAGGGAGTGGGTGGGACTGGAGCACGAGGGTTTCCAGTGGCTGCTCATAGCACATGGCATGGTGAAGGTGAATGGAAGATATGTGGAAGCATGGCAAACTTGGTAGTGTTAGATATTTTTATTGACTCTTTTATGGGTCAGTCAACATTGAGAGCAGGAGCCAGGCTGCTGCCAGGAAGGGGTTTACTGAGATTTTGCAAGGATCAGTCAGATTGGCCATAGGAGAGGAAGAGCAGGGCCAAGGAGGAGTCTTAGGTCCTGGCTAGTGATGGAAGAAGTGTTGGCGTTACTGTCCGAAAGGGAGGGTGGTGTTTCCCTGAGGGTGAGGGAGAAGGAAATTCCATTTGTTGAGTTTGAGATCCCAGTGGAGGGTCCCTGGAAGTAGCTGGAAATCAGGTGCCTGTCTGAGAGCTAAAATCACTCCACCTACCACTGCACATCTGCTGTGTGTACAGCATCTTCCTGAAGGGATGATCCACTTTGAATAATAAGGATGTAAGGCTCAGAGAGGTGAATTAGTTTTTTCCATGATCGAACAGCTGTTGGGTAGTCGACCCGACATTCAGAACCAGGTTTCTGACTGTCCAGCACATTTTCTTTTCACTGACGCGTCTCTACCAGCATCTTCCTTCGCTCCGAGACTCCTCATTGTACTCATTTCCTTTCAGCTTTGTGTTTTGAGTGTTCATTGGAACAGTTTTCGCATGTACAGGAAAGGCGAGACTAGTGTAGTGAGCGCATACCTTAGTCTTTTTTAGCAAATGTTAAAATTTAACATATTTATTTGGAAAGTCTGTGTTTTCAGAATGATTTAGAAGTTGGAGACCTCTCCATCTGTCACTCTTAAGTACTTCAACACCAATGTCCTCACCGGGATCTTTTCAGTGTAATGCAGCGTCACAACTCCACCTAAGAAAAGAAATATAAGTTCCATACAGTTAGCATCCAGTATGTATGCCCATTTCCCCAGGAGGTTCATACATTGGGCTTTAATTTTCCTATTCATGGCTCCTCTAAACCGAAATGACCCAAACGAACCTCAGTGAACTTGACAAATGGCTTGCGTGGAGTGTAGTAACACAGCCCTGGAAAGAACAGACCTCAGCTAAACAGAGCAGCACGTGGTAAATGGAGCCCGAGAAGCCAGAACCTATGTGAGGCAGTTACGTGGTGTCTAAGAGGTTCTGAACAAGGAAGAGTGTGGGCATTGCATCCTGGGGCTGGGTGTAATCACGGAGGGGCTTCCGGTGCTGACCTGTTGATTACTCGTGCTCACGGCAGTTCTTGGAGCTGTACATTTCTGATTTGTAAATCAGAGGTAATAGCTGTGTACCTTGTATTTGATCAGTTAGAGGAATATAACATCAGTCCCTCTTTCTTTCCTCCCATCCCCTCCCTTCCTTTCTTTTAGCAGAAGAAAGGTATAGCCGGGGCTGGCCTCAACCTCAAAGTCCCCTCGCCTCAGCCTCCTGAGGGCTGCATCTGCCACCACACCCTGCTCTTCTTTCTGTCTTCTGATGGTCTCACCTGAAAGGAGTCTCCACTTGTTTCTCTGTTTGGTCTCTTTTGCTCTCTTTGCACCCCTGGACCTTTTCTCCTGTTTTCTTCCTTCCCTTCCCCTTCTCTATAAACACTGTCCTCTTAGTTTCGAGAGAGCATGGAGGGATGAGAGTGAGGATGGAAGGGTCAAGCTGGGGTGGTGCGGTGACATTCACTGTCACTTCAGTCCTGATAGCTGTGCCAGCACAGAGGTGGTCAGCATCCAGAGCCCCTGAGACAGACCGGGCTCATTCATTCAGCTGGCAGCCGGCAAACCTGTCCCTGTGCAGCCCTGCCAAGCTCCTGGGAACCCAGATGAGGGACACTGGGCAGGAGGAGGGAGGGAGCAGCGTGTGAGGGCCAGGAGCTGAGAGGTGTGTGGTGTGGAGAACTGCACCGTGTTCCCCATAGTTGGGTGCATTTATTTATTCAGGGAGTCAGAACTTGGATGAAAGGGACCTTACCCTTTGCAGCAACGTGTCATGTTCCCAAGTGCACAGTGAGCTGAGTGCAGGAGTGCAGAAAGGGAGCGGGGAAGGGGAGAGAAGAACCAGGTGTTTCTTGGAGGAAATCACCGAGTTAGACTTTGAAATAAGTCTGCATTAGCAGACAGTCCAGTGGCCGGGCATGAACATCTGCAGACTTCCATAGAAGGGCCGGATGCAGGAAGACGTAGTGGGTGGGTGCAAGTGGAAAGTGTTGAGGTCTTTGGTCAAGGGAAGAAAGATAGGCGTTCATGGACAGCCGTGGTCGCAGCTGTCTAACCTGTACTTTTCCCTCTGTGGCCCTCACAGAATCAGCGTTGGTCTCCTTTGTCCTGCAGGCACTGGGAACAAGGACAAAGAGGCAAAACCCCAGCAGGAGGACCTTAAAGGGACGTTTGCTGGGCTGACCCCTGAGCGGCTGGCAGAAGCCGCTGTCCAGGGTCCTGGGCCCGACCGGGGCTGTGAGCAGGAGTCCGGGGGCTCCGGGGGTGACCTGCCCGGGCTCCCCGCTCCCCTGCCCGCCGCAGCGGTGGTGGATGAGCTAGGCACGCACAGCTCCTTCTGGAAGCCCTTCCAGTGCCCCGAGTGCGGGAAAGGCTTCAGCCGCAGCTCAAACCTCGTGCGGCACCAGCGGACCCACGAGGAGGAGAAGGCATTCGGCTGCGTGGAGTGCGGGAAGGGCTTCACGCTGCGGGAGTACCTCACTAAGCACCAGAGGACACACCTGGGCAAGCGGCCGTACGTGTGCGGCGAGTGCTGGAAGACCTTCAGCCAGAGGCACCACCTGGAAGTGCACCAGCGCAGCCACACCGGCGAGAAGCCCTACAAGTGCGCGGACTGCTGGAAGAGCTTCAGCCGCCGGCAGCACCTGCAGGTGCACCGCAGGACGCATACCGGTGAGAAGCCCTACACGTGCGAGTGCGGCAAGAGCTTCAGCAGGAACGCCAACCTGGCGGTGCACCGGCGTGCGCACACCGGCGAGAAGCCCTACGGCTGCCAGGTGTGCGGGAAGCGCTTCAGCAAGGGAGAGCGGCTGGTGCGTCACCAGCGCATCCACACAGGAGAGAAGCCTTATCACTGTGCGGCCTGCGGGCGCAGCTTCAACCAGAGGTCCATCCTCAACCGCCACCAGAAGACCCAGCACCGCTCAGAGCCCACACCGCAGTGAAGGCGAGGCCGCCAGGGCTGGGATCCATCCGTCCATCCACCCATCCATCAACCATCCACCCATCCATCAACCATCCACCCATCATCAGTCATCCTGCAGGGCCTGGGGGTGCACAGCAGTGATGGCAGGCACACGCCTTCCCAAAGTCAGGCGTGGGCTTGGGTGAGGTCAGGGCGGGTAGTTGCCATCAGCATTTCTAGGGACACCTGCCCGGAGCTTCAGTTTAGCTATGGTGTTTTACTGCAGTGAGATGCCCAAGAGATCATTAAGTCAGACTCCTCTCCCCCCATTCTCTTTTCCATTTCACAGGTATTTATTGAGCACCTGCTATGCTCCTGGCACCAAGAACTCAGTGGTGAACGAGGCAAGGGAGCCTTGGTAAGTGCCACGCAGGAGAATCTTGTCACCTCCCGTTGCCAGCCTGCCCTGCTCCACACTGCCGGGGGCTTTTCAGGCAGCTTGGTTTATTCTGCTTTTTGGTAGCCGCCTCTGTCTCTGACTGCAGCATTCTGTCCTCATCTGTAAACTTTGCCTACTCCATTGTTCCTTGCACTATAACAACAGTGGGTAGGGATCAGTTTTGGAATTGATCACTGAGTAAACAGAATATTTTTAAAAAATATTCAGTTCTGTAAAGAGATCTGCTCAAATGACTGAAAGAGGAGCTGGCGTTGATGCCCTGTATTTGATGGCACTTTGCAGTGTATAAAATGCTGTTCTCTATGTTCTTGTCTGATTCATTCCATTACTATTTGCTGAGGCCCTGCAGAGTGCAGGGAACTTTCTGGGTGCTTGAGATACATCAGTGTGTAGAAGAGGGGAAATCCCTGACTCCAGTGACCTCACGTCTTGGGCACCGTCCTTCATCTTCAGAACGTCAGATGCTGCTGCACATGTCCTCTGGGCCTGGCCAGGTGTTCTCGGTCCTGTCAGCTGCTTCCTCTGAATCACATTCACCATGTGCCTCTTGTCAACGAATTGTCTGTCTTCGGTGTGTCTGACCCTTGTCATCTGAGACACGGGTCTGGAAACCAGCTGGATGACAAGGTGGTAGTGACCTGTTTCGCACGCATGCTCATTCAGAAAAATGGAGAGATTAGTAGGCATAAAAAATACCTCTCTTTAAAAATGGGAAACGGCAGTACCTGTAACTGTGTTTTTGTTTTCTTCTGTTTATTTGCAATCACTAAAGGGTTTTCTGCTGGTAAAAGTCTGGAAACTAACCAGCATGATGGACGCACTATGTAAGTGTACACCATGCCTTTGAACGCTGCTGCTGAATAACTTCATCTTTTGTTGGCTGTGTACTGTGATAGTTGCAGATGTGGTTTGTCTTTTGGTGCCTCCTAATGTCCTTTTCCTGAGTTCTCCACCCCCAGGTTGCACTGTAAACACAACACATGGTGATCACTAGCCACAGTTGTTCTTCGCAGTCTGCTTTGAAATACATGGTTTATCACCTGTGTCTTGGCAGCAGCCATGACATGTCCTTCCTAGTCCCTCAGCTGTGCCCAGGAGGTTGCCCTAACCGAAGCTCACGTGTGACTGAGACATCCACACGGGCTCCTCCAGTGCTGAATTCCTTGTGCAAATTACTTTTTTTTTTTTTTTCTTTTTTCCTGTTCTCCGACAAGTTAGGCAAGGCTATGGACCCTGACCAGGCAAATGCAATGGGAAGTTTCTGACCTGTGGCCTTCCCAGCAGGTCCCAGGAAGTCTGTATCCCAAAGCCAGGCAGGGACCATGGAGGCTGCTGTGTCAATGTTCTGTGTGTTTACCTGAATTGGACTTTGAATAGGCTTTCCATCATGCATGCAGTCAAACAGGCCTCTGGTTTTTGAGCACATTGAGATCTCTCAAGAGACCCTCCAGTTGGGCTGAGCCTTGTCTTCCTGCCACTTGGCCCCTTCCTTGTCTGCTGTGAGGCTGAAGCTTATGGACAGTTCTCCAAAAAACCTGCATTAAAAGGGAGTTTTCCCCATGGAATCATTGTAGCCTTGCTTTTGATAATCTCTTCAAATGATAAGATATTTTATTCTGTATTTTCTATTCTTTATTTTTTACTGGCGTAATTAATTGTACGAAGGGGTTTCATTGTTATGTACCCATATGTGCATATGTAGTACTTTGATCAAACTCACTCCTCAATCTCTCTTAACCTCTGCTCCTGTCCCCTTTTTAATAGTTTTTAGTGGGCTTCATTATGCTGTTTACATGGACACATGCATACATATATATATACCCACACATATATGAAATACACTTCAATCATACCTATCCTGGTCACCCTCTCCTTTCCCTTCCCCCGCCCTCTGCTTTTCCCCAAGCAGTCCTTTTTGAATCATGTCATATCATTACTGTTATTTCTTAGCTCTAGATTCTGTATATGAGCAAAGACATGGTATTTGTCTTTCTGAACTTGGCTTATTGCACTCAGCCTCGTGATCTCCAGTTCTATCCATTTTCCTACAAACTGACATTTTGTTCTTCACGACTGAGTAATCCATTATGCACATGTACCACTTTTTTCTTTATCCATTGACTGATGGGTACTTAGCTTGGTTCCGTTGCTTGGCTATTGTGAGCGTGTCACAACAACATGGGTGTGTAAGGTGTCTCTTTTGTAAGTTGACTCACCCAAGAGGGGTAGAGCAGAATCATATGGTAGTTATACTTTTAGTTTTTTGCAAAACTCCACAAGTGATTTCTATAGTGACTGCACTAATTTAACATTCCCCACTCACAGTGAATGAGGTGTCTTTCCCCAACCCGTGCTTGATAGCATTTGTGTGGTTTCCTTTCTCCCTCCCTCTTTTTTTTTTTTTTTTTTGTGGTACTGGGGTTTGAACTCAGGGCATTCTCCTTGAGCCACTCCACCAGCCCTTTTTTGTGAAGGGTTTTTCAAGATAGGGTCTCGGGACCTGTTTGCTGGGCTGACTTTGGACACAATCCTCCTGATCTCTGCCTCTTGAGTAGCTGGGATTGCAGGTGTGAGCCATGGTGCCTAGTCCTCATTCTTTTTTTTTTTTTTTTTGTGGTACTGGGATTTGAATTCAGGGCTCTGCGCTTTCTAGGCAGGCTCTGCCATTTGAGCCAGGCCCTATCCCTTTTTTGCTTTATTTATTTTTTGGATAGGGGTCTCACCTTACGCCCATGATGACCTGGACTGATCCTTTTTCTTAAGCTTCCTGCAACCCTCCTCCCCCAGGCTTTTATTGGTTGAGATGCCATCTCCCGAACTTTGTACCCTGGCTGACACATGATCCTCCTGGTCTACACCTCAAGTAGCTAGGATTAGAGACATGAGTTGCCATGTCCAGCTTGTTTGTTTTCTTTTTCTTTCCTTCTTTTGCCATGCTGGTGTTTGAACTCAGGACCTCACAACTTGCTGGGCGAGTGCTCTACCCCTTCACTGCCATTCTGACTGGGGTGAGATGGGTGGAATCTCTGTCATTTTGATTTGCATTTTCCTTATGGATAAGGATGTTGGGCGTTTCTTCGTGTGTTTATTGACCTTTTTTTTTTTTATTGGGTGGGTCTCAGGGCTTCATGGTTACAAAGCAGGCGCTCTACCACTTGAGACACATCTGCAGTCCATTTTGCTCTGGTTATTTTGGAGATGGGGTTTCAGGAACTATTTGCCTGGGCTGGTCTTGAACTGGGATCCTCCTGATCTCAGCCTCCCAAGCATTAAAGGTGTGAGCCACCGTGCCACCCTTTCTTCATGTGTTTATTGGCCATTCATATGCTGCTTTTACAAACTGCTCAGTTCGTCTGCCCATTTGCTGATTGGATTATTTATTCTTTGGTGGTTAATTTTCTGAGCTCTTTCTATTTTGTGGCTATTATCCTTGTCAGATGAAAGCTTGCAAAAATTCTCTCAATGTTGTAGGTGGTCTCATCACCTGATAATTGTCCCTTTGATGTACAGAATCTTTTTAGTTTGATGCAATCCCATTTGTCAATTCTTGCTGTTAGTTCCTGAGCTGTTGGAATGCTGGTCAAGAAATACTTGTCCATGTTGATGTTTTAAAGTGATTTCTGTATGTTTCCCTCTAGTAGCTTCAGAGTTTCAGGTCTTACATTAAGGTCATCAGCTCCTTTTGAGTTGATTTTTTGTTGAGAGTGAGAGCTTGGTCTAGTTTCAGCGTGCTGCATGTGAATGTCCAGTTTTCCTAGTACTGTTTGTTGAAGAGGCCATCTTTTCTTCAAAGTATGTTTTTTGGCATCTTTGTGAAGAGCCAGATGGCTGTAACTGCGTGGTTTTATTTCTGGTATTCTGTTCCATTGGTTGATGTGTCTGTTTTGTCAAGTACCATCTTTCCCTCTTCTGCAGTCTTCTTTGATCTCTTTCTTTTCCAGTGGTTTAGAGTTTTCATTGTAGAGGTCTTCCACCTAAATTAGGTTTATTCCTAGGTATTTATTTATTTTTGGCAGTACTGGGATTCACACTCAGGGCTTTGTGCTCGTGAGCCATGCCTCCAGCCCAAGTATTTAATTTTCTTTGAGGTTATTAGAGAATAGGATTGTTTTCCTGATTTCTTTCTCACTCTGTTATTGTTGGTATGTAGAAAAGCTAGTGATTTTTAAATATGGATTTTGCATCTTGCTACATTGCTGAGTTATCAGAACTAAGAGTCTTTGGTGGAAGGTTCTTTAAGCATAGGAGCATGTTGTCAGCAGATGGGGTGACTCGACTTCCTCTTCTGTTTGCATCCTTTTTCATATTCTTTCTCTTGCCATATTGCTCTGACTATGAATGCTGGCACTACGGTGTTTAATAAGAGTGGAGAGAGTGGACACCCTTGTCTCGTTCCTGAGTTTACAGGGAATGGTTTCCGTTTTTCCCCATTTAGGATGATGGTGGCAGTAGGCTTGTCATCTACAGCCTTTGTTATGTTGAGGTGTATTCCTTCTGCTCCTAGTTTCTTCAAGGCTTTTTGCATGAAGGGATGTTGAGTTTTGCCAAAGGATTTTTCTGCATTGGTTGAGGTGATCATGTGGTTTTTGTTGTCAAGTCATTCACTTAGGATATGGGACTAAGTCTTCAGTATCTTGCTTTGGGAGTTTAATCCACTTAAAATTAATTACTGATAGAGAAGTTACAACTTCAATTTTGTTATTTGTCTTCTACATTTCTGATGACTTGATTGTTTTTTTTCTGTTCCCTCCTTCTTCCCTCACTGTCTTGCTTTGTATTTTGTTGATATTTTGTAGTGACATGTTTTGATAGCTATCTCATTGCCTCTTGGTCTGTTCTATCAATATTTTCATTGCATCTCCTATGGGAATTACACAAAACATCCTAAATTAGTAACACTGTTTTAAACTGATTATAACTTAAGTTCAGTTGCTCCACACATTCCCCTTTGTGCTCTTACTGTCAAAACTTAGATTCTATGTGCCCAATAGCATAAGCTTAGAGCTATTTTAAATGCTTTTGTCACATTAAAAGTGGAGCTACCCACCAAAGTTACAGTAATAACATATGTTGTGGTATTCATGTATTCGCTGTTACCAAAGAGCTTTATCTTTTCTCTTTTTAAAATTACATTATTGCCATACTGTGGTACATTATGACACTTAAAAAAGGTCTTATAATATATCATTGTTAAATTCCCCCTCCATCATTCTTCTTTATTCCCCACTCCCCCCATCCCTGGAAGTTTCAGCAGGTCTCATTTTTCCGTTTACATACATGAGTGCATAATATTCCACCACATTCATCCTCCTACACCCTTTCCTTATATCCTCCCCTCTTCCCACTGGTACCAAACCCCAGACAGGACCTGTTTCGCCTTCCTGGTCTCTGTTTTTGGAAAAAAAAAAAAAAAAAAAAAAGACATTTTTGTTTGTTGAAGATAGCTGTACAGAGAGCCTCATTGTGACACTTCCATGTTATATATATGTACACACACACACACACACACACACACACACACACAGTATAACCTGAGTCAAGAACGTTATATTTTCATGTGGATGGAATTCGTTGTGCAAAATGGAGAGGGGGAGGGGGAGGGGGGAGAGAGAGAGAGAGAGAGAGAGAGAGAGAGAGAGAGAGAGGAGAGCCCATTTTTACCAGCCCACCATAGTACTAACAGAAAGCTACACAGCCTGTGCCTGCTTTTTGAAAAGTATTTGAAAAGTATCTGACTTCTGTGGTTGCTGGAGCAACTTCACCAGAACTGAGGTCTATTAATTAAAGTTTCCCAGATAACGTAATGGGTCTGAGCCTGCTGTGTCTCAGGAAGCTTCTATAGAGCCTTTTCTTTGGAAAACACGTTTTCTGAGTGTGCAAGTGACTGTCTTTGGGACAATTAGAGCCATCCTTAACACTGTGCTCCTGTGCTCACATCTCAACCTGAAATAGTGTGATTTGAATTTGAACTTCCTAAGGTTTATGGGGTCATCTGAGGTCTTTGTTGAATATTGAACTAGCATTAAACCAGAGAGATGGAGCCACAGGAGAACATCAGATCTGTGGTGGCTCTGTGTGAATCACAACACATGCTAGCTCTCTGCTGGCCTCATCCTCCAGCCCCATCTCCACTCACCATCTTCAAAGTCTGCAGCTTTGGACGT